TCCTGGAGTCTACCCAAACTTATGTCCATTGAGTCAGTGATGCCATCCAACCATCTCATCCTCTTGTCGTCCTTTCTCCTCCTGCCCTCAATCTTTCCCAGCATCAGGGTCTTTTGAAATGAGTCAGCTCTTCACATGAGGTGGCCAAAGTATTGGAGTTTCAGCTTCAGCATCAATCCTTCCAATGAACACCCAGGACTGATCTCCTTTAGGATGGACTGGTTGGATCTCCTTGCAGTCCAAGGGACTGTGCAATTGCGCAGTAGTTTGAGCATTCTTGTCATTGCCTTTCTTTGGGATTGGAATGAAAATTGACCTTTTCCAGTCCAGTGGCCACTGCCAATTTTTGAAATTCTTTGGCATTGCCCTTCTTTGGAAATGATTTGAAAACTGACCTTTTCCAGTCCTGTGACCACTGCTGAGCTTTCCAAATTTGCTGACATATTGAGTGCAGCACTTTCACAGCATCATCTTTTATGATTTGAAATAGCCCAACTGGACTTCCATCACCTCCACTAGCTTTGTTCATAGTGATGCTTCCTAAGGCTCACTTGACTTCACATTCCAGGATGTGTGGATATTGTTGAGTGATCACACCATCATGACTTCTGGGTCGTGAAGATCTTTTTTATACAATTCTTCTGTGTATCCTTGCCACTTCTTCTTAATATCTTCTGCTTCTGTTAGGTACATACCATTTCTGTCCTTTACTGAGCCTGTCTTTGCATGAAATGTTCCCTTGGTATCTCTCATTTTTTTGAAGAGATCTCTAGTCTTTCCCATTCTATTGTTTTCCTCTATTTCTTTGCATTGATTGCTGAGGAAGGCTTTCTTATCTCTCCTTGCTATTCTTTGGAACTTTGCAATCAAATGGGTATATCTTTCCTTTTCTCCTTTGCTTTTCACTTCTCTTCTTTTCACAGCTATTTGTGAGGCCTCCTCAGACAGCCGTTTTGCTTTTTTGCATTTCTTTTTCTTGGGGATGGTCTTGAAAGTTGTGTGAAGTTGTGTCACACCATGCCTGTCGGTAGTGAATAATGAACAGAAGTTTCATGTGTTCTCTCAGTGGCAGACTGTGGTTAGAACTTCAGCTTTTTCATTGGTTCCCAAGGTGTCTGCTGCCACTTGATTTGGTCATGTCCTTCTTCTGCAGTCCAGCATGCTAGTAGTTTTCCAGATGTGGACCCCAGACCAGCATCACCTCATCACCTGGAAACTTTTTAGAAATGCAGATTGTTGAGCCTCATCCCATACTTACTAACTGAGGAATTCTGGGAGGGAGTGCCAAGAGATGTGTGTTTTAACAGGACTCCCCAGGGAATTCTGAAGTGCATTAAAGTTTGGGAGCCACTAAAATAGACTGTACCAACCCACCAAACCATTACCTGAGTCAGACTTCCCTGATTGATTTGGGAGATGCTGGAAGCAGCATGGAATATTATTGCATTGAGGTAATCATCAACAGACAAGAATTATTACACTATTTTATTACTTACAAGTAGTAAGATTTTAATTAACTCGCTTCATTTTCCTGAACTTCAGTTTCCTGCCCTGTAAAATGGAAATACAGCATATTCTGCAATGCAGTAAGGAGGTCTCTCAAAAAAAACAAACCAAAAAAAAAAAAAAAAAACCATAAAAAACCTCAGTCAGCAGTCACCTTCCAAAAACAAGTATTTCAAAAAGAAAAAAGGAAAAATAATAGTTGTTCAATTTCACATGCATAATTTAAAAGTTATTTTTCTTTTATTTAAACATGTGCATATCAAGTCGCTTCAGTCATGTCCAATTCTTTGCATCCCTATGGATTGTAGCCCACCAGGCTTTTCTGTCCATGGGATTCTCCAGGCAAGAATACTGGAGTAGGTTGCCATGCCCTTCTCCAGGGGATCTTCCCGACCCAGGGATCAAACCTGCATCTCTGTCTCCTGCATTGGCAGGTGGGTTCTTTACCACTAGTGCCATCCAGAGTAAATAAACTCTATAGATTACTAATAGGACCTCAACAAAATCAATTAAAAAGGCTTTCCCCCTTTACCATTTGAGTTACATATAAAAGCCTGTTGAAACACATATAAAAAGCCTTCACCTTTGACCTTTGCTGCTAACACAATTCATATCCTTTGAAGGAAAACAGACAAGGGGGGAAAAAACGTATAGCCAGTTGACCAGCCAGCCACCAAACCCAGCAGCCCCTAGATGCTTTTGGTCCTAGCCAGAAGGATTGAAACACAACACTTCTGCATACTGAAGATTGTATTACTGTAACAGATTTCCTTAATTTCAATTTGAGTTGTGAAACATCCTTATTACAGGTGTAACATCAGTAATATCTTTCCTGCCCTGCCTATATTATACATTATAGGGTTGTTGAGAGAGAGAGAGAGGTGTATTATCTTGTTTAGTATCAGCAAATCAGGCATACCAGATACAGACACTCTCAGCAGGTCATGGATTCTCTATGTCTTCCAGTGTTGGCTTGTTTTCAAGTTAGGATCACCTCTTGCAGCTGGATCATCTCAACAGATTCATTAGACTCAGGGCCACATACATCTGAGTACAAACCCAGTGGAAATGTTTGAGAGTCTTTAGTATGCCCACCTGAAGGCTCATGACATGCCATTGGTTCTGAAATGGGCGTGTGTCTGAAATAGTCACTTTGTCAGGATTGCTCTGCTTGACTCCAGCCACATCAGAAGCACAGTAACTGAGAGAGGGGAAGTGGTGCTTCCTTAAATAGAATTATTGCTGGTGGGGCTGATGAAGGTTCAAATCACAGATGTTTATATAATTGACAGTGTTACAGTTAATAGGACTTTACATTAGTTCTAGTCTTTAGTGATGTATTTAAATCAAGACGCTTATCTACATCCTCATTAAGGACAGTTTGCAAGCCTCCAGGTAACTGCCCCTCCCCTGCACTGAGAAGTCTTTTATGAGCATAGAGGGCTATAGGGGGATGGGGCTGTTTCTGTTCCTTAGCATGGAATAGTGAGAGAGACCCGATTCCAGTTCTTGTTCTGTCGCCTATTCACTGGGTGAATTTGTGTTAATTTCTTAACCTCTCTTAGCCTTATTTTCTGAGCTTGAGATACATGCTGATCCCACTGGACTATTGGAAAAGTCAATATGTAAATTAATTAGCCTTAGCTCCTAAATATGGGAGCCTGGTGGGCTTCTGTCCATGGGGTCATCATAAAAGAGTTGGACAGGACTTAGGGACTAAACAACAATAAGCTACTAGGTACTGCTCACTAAATTTCCTTCTCATGCATAAAAATGGGACATCTGTCATATAAGTGGTCCAGGGTACTGTGGGAAATGTTTCCATATCTCAGATGCCTGAGCCTGCTGCTCTAGCAAGAGACCTGTATAAATAGAGGTGGAAGCCTTCGAGCAGGAAAGGCACTCAAGAAGTATAGTCCCATCAGTTCCCATCTTCACAGTGGTGTTGTAAATTAAATCTTCTTATTGATGATGCAGGAAGACATTGAGTTGTAAGTGTCATAAAATGAATTCCATTCAATCAGCATGTATTTCTTGAGTTCTCACCACAATTTTCTTTCCTTGTTTTTTCTTTTTCTTTTTGTATCATATTTATATGAAAAGATGGATGTTAGCTTAACCTATTGTGGTAGTCATTTCATAATATATATAAATTGAACTATCATGCTGTGCACCTTAAAATTATACAATGATATGTATCAATTATTTCTCAATAAAACTGAAACAAAATAAAATATACAAAAATTCATTAGAAAAAATATTGGCAGTAGATATATTTCAAGTATTTACCAAAATAAATATACTGTATTATTAATAATAGCTTGTTGTGGTTAGGTTTTATTATCTATGTAGCAATGGAGGCCTCTTAAAAATAAGACACACAAATTTTCCCATCTCAACAGAACAAAAAGCATTACATAATCATTTAATTTTGGAGAATCATGATCTCAGTATTCATCCTTTACTTTTAGACTTGCTAAGAAATAATCCAAGAGGAAAAACGGTCACCCTGTCAGCACAGCCACCTTAATTCTAGTCCCTGGGCCCAGAATTCAGCTCAGTACAGACAGTTCGTGTCTAACTCTTAATTTCTGTCTGCTTCTCTTCCCTGGCAAGTCACCTCGCTCACCCCTTGACCACCCACACCACCCATAGTCTGCTCAACTGTTATTTTCAAGTTCCTTGTTGTCTTGAATTCTCTTGCATTTTGGCAAGTCATGTGTTTCCTGCATTTTTGTTGTTCAAAATTCTTCCTTTACCCTATTTATATTGACACTGAAAATTTAAGGTGACACCTTGTAACTGTGGGCGTTAAGAAGCATCAGTTAAATGAAGTTACACAAAAATGTTTCTGCTGTGTATATCAAGTGCTTAATTTATGTTACCTACTACTTTTAGTTCTGGTTTTATCATGAATTCATCTGTAATTATGTTTCTATTGTGAGCACAATTTAGTAATTCATCCCCTAATACTGTTTCATCCCTAGTTCAGTTTAATTTTTTAGGTATTTTTAATAAAGACTGTAAATTATTTAAAGGGGGAGGTCATGCTTTCCATTTCTCTGCATGCTGTATGTGGAAATCATGAAAATGGTACTGCTGCTGCTGCTGCTAAGTCACTTCAGTTGTGTCCGACTCTGTGCGACCCCAGAGACGGCAGCCCACCAGGCTCCTCTGTCCCTGGGATTCTCCAGGCAAGAATACTGGAGTGGGGTAGCCATTTCCTTCTCCAACGCATGCTGGCAACAATATATTATACCATTACATCATTATAGCCATCCTCATGGAGTGGATTATTATACCATTTAGTAGATGAAGAAACTAAAACTCAGAGTTTATAGCGGCAGAACCACAGTTCAAATTTAGAGCATGTGGACATAAAGCCAGTTCTCTTAATCATGAATATCCAAACTACATATCATAACGCCTTGTGTAAAAATCACCACTAAAGGCTTTCTGTTTTGAAAGTCTCATTTGTTTCTTCCCCCTTGCAGATGGACCCCCATGAGAACATCTTACTGAGCACTCTTGAGATAAAAAATGAAATGGCCACCTCCGAGGCTGTGATGGGACTTGGAGACCCAAGGAGCACAATGCTGGCCTATGATGCCTCCAGCATCCAGTATCGGAAAGCCGGGTTGCCCAGGCATAGTTTTGGCCGAAATGCCCTGGAACGGCACGTGGCACAGAAGAAAAGCCGCCTGCGGAGACGCGCCTCCCAACTGAAAATCACCATTCCCGACTTGACTGATGTGAATGCCATAGATCGGTGGTCCCGCATATTCTTCCCAGTGGTTTTCTCCTTCTTCAACATCGTCTACTGGCTTTATTATGTGAACTAAAACATAGCCTCTGTGGGAAGCAAGGACTAGATTCCTCCTCAAACCAGTTGTACAGCCTGACATAGAACTTGGAAAACATATCAATCCAGGACAAAAGTGATGCTAAAATACCTTAGTTGCTGGCCTATCCTGTGGTCCAATTCATACCATTTGGGTTGCTTCTGCTAAGTCATGAAAATGCTAAGGTCCTTGGGGTTTTCCAGTTAAAATGCAAGTGATTTGTACACATGCTGGCAAAACTGAGTCTGTGTTCCACCTTCTCTGCTTAGTACACAGCCTATATGGAGGGGAATAATTTAGATGATATTCCAGAAGGCTCAATAGAGTCATCAGTCATCTCGCCAAGATGTGGTCATATCCAGATACTCCCCATCTTCGTTCTTAAAGTTGTCACGTGATCTGCCATGCCATGCAAACATGCTTACTGAAGACAGCCTCTGCCTGTCTTATTAAGGTGATACTGGTGCCACAAGAAGTTAATTCCCACTGGATACTAGAAGATTCTTGTGTAATTCAAACAAGATAGGGAGAGTCAAGACAGAGACTCAGGAAACCAATTTGGCCAGACCATGTTTGCTTGAGCTTGGGAATCAATGCTGATGTCTTCCATTTTGACATTTAGAGATGAGGAGACTTCTAAACATTATCATGCCTGGTGGCCGAAATAAATTTTTCTAAAATGCTATTTCTGAGGCAGTTAAAAATAAGAGTTAATAACCCAGAACAGAGTGGAAAATTCAGAGACAACAGTAGTAATGAAATTAAAGCACGCAAGCAGCTTGACCCTTAGCCCGTTACAAGCGTGTGGTCCATACACACTGTGTTCAGTGGAGAAAGTAGAGTGAGAGAGATTTCTTTCCGTCCAAACTCACAAGCTTTTGAGAGCATGCCTGAAGAAGTTCTTATAGTGTACCTGATCCAGAGACAACCCCTAAACAGAAATGTTAGCAGAATTAGAAGCATCTTAGGTTACACTGGGAGTGATTCCAATATATAGAATATAAAGCACAGACAGAGCTAGCAAACAAGATGCTTTTCTCTGACTCTAAAACATATTCCTGCAGTTTACTTCTGAATTTAATAGGGTATTTCAAAAGAAGGATTTGTTCATTTCTTTAGCAGGCTTAATGGTCTTTTCCAGCTTTTCTTGTTTCTGAAATTCTGATTACATTCTTAAGAGACAGACAGTAAGTCTTTGGAGAGATTTTAAGAGAACTGTATTTTTATGTACAATGAAGTTCACCTTTGTCTTTCATGGCAAATAGTACACAAGAGATTATGTGCACAAGTAGGTTTAGTTGTTGATTTGGGGAGTTTGATTTTTCTAGGGTGCTTTCACTGTATGTGCTGCAGTCTGCCTAATCAAATAAGAAGTCATGGAAAATAGAACAACAAAGCCACATTACATGGTGAATGTTATGAGCCTCAGTTGATATTGCAGAAAAATATATAGCTGATAATCAGGCAGGCATGACGTATTATTTGTATTCAAATTTTAAATGATGTCATTGTGCTTCTTTCTATACTAATTGGATACATGCATTCATATATTGGCCAAAGAGAAAAGAATAAGCTCATATATTTTATTTCTATCAATGTGAGGTTCATATTTTGCCTTTCTCAGAGGAAATAGTGAATTCCTCACTTTTCCTTAGAGTTAGATTTGATTGAAACTTTTCTTGGAGGATGACTTTGCTATTTCTATTTAAAAAAAAAAAAGCACTTCTTTTTAGAGTAACATCCCTAATTGTGCATAGTAGCTAAGGCCAGTTATCCGCCTATGGATAAATGTATGTTTTCTTTCCTTGATGATTCAGCAGCTTAGAATACGATGGAGTCCTGCCTCCTTTCTATTCTTCACTATCAGAGGAAGAAAAAAAAAAAGTTTAGCATCTTTCTGAATTTGTCCCCCAGATAGGATGGTATTTTTTTTTTCACCAACATAGGGAGCTCTGGCCCTTATTTTTTTGTTTATACACTTGAACACCTCTGAGCATGATCTTTGGGCAGAATCCAACTGACGCGTTGCCCATGGGGGCTCAGAGCACAGATTCCTCGAGTTTCTCCAGGGACACACTTTCCCCTGGGCAGTCATTTTGGGACATCACACTAATAAAAGTGCCTGCCCCTTGTCACTAGGGGTTAAAGTTTGAGTAGCATATATCAAGAAGGACCATATTGATAACTCAGGTTCACAACTCCAAAATGCCATTCTGGAAAGGTTTTTCTAGAGACAACTCAGAGCTCCAGCCGAGAAGTGGTTCTTATCTACAATTACCATAAAAGCCATAAAAGTCCTTGGTATTGTCATATGATTCCAACAAGATTTTGATGTCCAGGAAAGTCAACATAGAAATCTAGATCAAAGTGGACAGAAGAAGCAACTTCACAGCATGAACTTCAAAAGCATATGACCAGGGATTCATTTCTGACCACAGTGTTAAGAAAAATCTTAGGGAAAGGAAAAAGATGGGACACTGGAACAGAAACCCTAGAGTAAAATCCATTGATTGGCATTTAGTAACCATGTAGGTAGAAAAACCTGACTCATCCCACCCAGAGATAACAGTAGATATAGAATTTATTCTTAAATGATTGTTTTATTGTAGTTGAACTGAATTTTAGTTACCAGATTGAGGGAGGGAAAGGGAAGGGAGCTAGATCTTTGTCTTCAAAACAGACCAGTCAGCTTGGCATCCAGGACCACAAAAGTATGTTTTGGCAATTCTGATACAGCATTACTATCAGTTTATACATATATGTATAGTTTTTCTTTTGATTATGAAATAGCCAGATAGCCAGCAATTAAGGTGTTTTTCATCTCTGTGAAATTCATAGGCAAATTCTGACTCTAAAAGGCACACTCTCAATGAAATCTTTGATCTCAATCTGTATATGTATATATTGTACATGACTGCTAGTAGGTATGAAATGCATTTTCAGAATTGAAAACTCATGCAACATAATCATGTGTTTGCATAAGGAATGTTAACAATTCTTTCTACTGCAATTTAATAACAGGGGAAAAGACTTAAGCAGTGCCATCTAGACCTTTCCTCATTTCTTCAAAAGCAGTGCTAAGTGAAAAATAGTAATAATAAAAAATGGTTTAGGAACCAAAAGACTTTACATTCTAGCATTAGAAACACAAAAAAATCTGTCAGCTTACAAAAGCACAACGCATAGAGAAAGTTCAGTGGGATGCATAATGGAGAAATGAATCACGTTTATTTTAAGCAAAACCTGCATTAAATTGTCTACTAAGACAATTTCCATTTTCTATAGGTAACTGTGTTCCAATTTTATGATTAAATTCATACAAAAACAGACAACAAACAGGTTTTACCACATATTTACATGTATATATGTGTATATATCGATTATATAAACATACATACATATATATGCATTCATATGTTGGAAAACAAAAGGAATAAGCTAATATGTTTTATTTCCTTCATTAAACCAATGTATGAATATTTTTAATTTGGCAGCCGACAAATCAAACATATTGAAACAAGTAATACAGGGTACTGAGCATTTCTCTATCAGCGAATCAATGCCTACAGTTCTTATGAACCACTGCACAGTTTGACACTATAATAGTACTGTACCTCAGAACATGGAAATTAACTAGTTCTCACATTGCTTGTCTACTTATTCTCTTTTTCAAGGAAACAACTAGCATTGTTCAATGGTGATTTAAAAACAAAAATGTCTTAAGAAAACAGAAAATGATAAAAATATATATATATATTCCTCCCAAGAGGAGGAAAAAAAAATAACTAAACCCCACCATGTTGGTTAGGGCAGATACTCTCAACTGTAGCAATCATGCCATTTTGCTAAGTGTACAGAGTCCATGTAATGTTAGCAACCATAACTTTCACTGAACGTGTGTAAATATTAAAACAGATTTCTTAAATATTTTTAACTTCTAATTTGTATTTTATGGTAAGGCAATGTGCTAATTCTGTTTATGGCTTAAGTTGCTGTGTTATTATGTAAATAATTAAACATGCTGTAAATGAATAGTCAATAGATGCAAATAATTGTTTAGTTTTTTTTTTTTTTTAGTTTTTATTTATTTTTTACTAAGTAAAAATAGTTACTGCAGCCCCCAGCAGAGAAATTCAAACACCCTTTTGCATAAATGCTTTGGGATCCCAGACAGAAGGGTTTTAATTTGCACTCTCTCTCTCTGTCTCTTTCCCTCTCTCTCTCTCTTTCTCTCTCTCTCTCACACACAGACACACACACACACTTTTTCTTGTCACTCCCACTCATACTCCGTCTATGGGAAACACTGTAGTGTTTATAAAAACCAGGAGATAGCCTTAGAAATGGCAACTGGGAAAAGCAGAAATGATCATTGATTACTTGATAGAGCTTTTTATATGTAAGAGTTTAAGAAACCAAAGTTCATAACTTAAATCTCAGTTTTCAAAGAGTAAAAGTTTTTATTGATGGCACTACAGGAAAAAACAAATGCTTATTATATACCTGCTCCAGAAATATGTTTCACAATAGCACATAGAGAAGACTTTTTTTTTTTAAATAGCATTTGTCCTTAGATAGCATTTTTTCCTTTTAACCAAAGACTCCATAATTATTTTTAAAAAAGAAAGAAAAATGGAAAAATGAAGGAAAATGGGAAAAAAAAAGACACTGCTTCACACCAAAGGTTTAAAAAATATTTTCCAAATACACCAGGGACATTGTAAAAAAGTAGTAAGGAGCCAACAGAATGGTAATTAAGATACTGCCCTAAGGAAATAATTTAAGGAAAAAAAATATTAAACATCCATTAGTTATTTGAAAGTTGAAGTAAACATTTCTGTAGATATATAGATGTGTGCAAAATGCTAATATCAGATTTTAATTTGCTTTGAGAATTTGTTTTGTGACAAAGTTAAATGTGATCCAAAATGAACAAAAACAAAAACTTGTGGTTTTTTTAACTTGAAAGCCAAATCTCTCTCTTGTCACATGTCATTATT